AAAAGACTCCAAAGATGTGAAAGAACAAGTGTGATTCTCCTACAAAATAGAGCAGTAACAAAAACACTCTCATATTTTTGCCAAATTTCAGCCAGTGTACTGTCATACTGTGTACTATTCAGCTGTTTGCTAAACGTAAGATCAACATGGTTAAGCAGATCTGGGTTTAGTATCTTTGCTTAATGTGTGGTGCTCAGGAAGACATACTGCATTCAGTAAGAAGAAAGATAATTTATTTTAAAAAATGAAATAGGAGGTTGAATGTGCCAATAGATTAATCACTTTTCACATCAGATCTATCTCTCTGAAATATAAATACTTCCTACAGTATGTTAGCACCCTGTAGCAGCAGAGCTGATAAATTAAATGTGCATGATTACCTCAGTACACGTACATTTTAAGAACTTTGTGAAATTAGCAGGTACATTAAAAAAGTGATAAATAAAGAATCAAGCCACTTCCTTGCTTTCACTGGTTTGAATCCCAAACAGCAATCTTTTTTTTTTTTTTTTTCTTTTCAGAGGGGCTCTTCCCTTCTTTTTTGAACATTCATTTGAAAGCTTTGCAGTGTGCCAGTATAAAAAAAAAAAAAAAATGGAACATTTACACAATAAGCCAGTCACCCATCCTGTCATTTTCCACATCCCCATTGTAATTATTTGAAATCCTTATGCTTGAAGACGAGTTTTTCTCCCTCCCAACCCAAAATCTATTTTCGGAGTAGACTTGTAATTGTGTGTTTGTTAATATAGCTGTCTGTTGCCATGAACAAAGTGAGGTCACCAATTTTCTATTACAGCTTTGCCACAGAGTTAAGGACTGTAAAACAGCTAGCACTTACTTGAATGCACTATTTTTCGTTTTATTTTGTTCTGCTATCAATCCAAACAATATCTAGGGTAAATAACTGACGTGAACTTTTGTATTTAATATTCAATGCTCAGATGTTCTCCATTTAAGGCTTGGCAAGAATTTTCCTGGAAGTAAATTGAGAATTAATGTGTATGAAGCATTTTTAAAATATCTTAATTATCTAACTCAGTGTTATTTGCTAAGAAAAAGTTAATCTGTTTACAGATTATGTTATATTGTAGCATCCAGTGCTTAAAATATTTATATTTTGGATTTGTATTTATGCACTTTTAAAACTTCAGTAGAGTTCATACAGATCACTGTAAATTATTTTATCAATGCATCATCAGTACTAAGGTTTATACTGCCATTATGGTTTCTTCTAAGTCTGGTATTTTTGTTCATCTGTCTTAAACTCTTAGAATATTTTTTTATAATTTGTATATCCCAGAATGGATGAATGAATTGAAAACATGAGGCAGATTCCTAATAAGAACTGTCATGGCTACCCTGAAGTCAGCAAGTTATGTCAGTACGGCTGTGACAATTCAGAGCAGTCAAAGGTTTGGCTCAGAACATCTGTACATCTTCAGCACTTTACATCCTTAATAAACACATTATTTATAACTTGAAACTAACAGTTTCAACAAGGCTGGTTAACACAGAATCACCAACAGGAGCATGGAGAGAAAATGAGATTTATAATATGTAATGATATTTTTTGAAAGGCTATTTCAGGCATTCCTGCCCTAAAACCAGCAGCATTAACAAACATGAAAAAATATGTATAATTCACACCAGATGCATTTTGCTGATTTCTGTCATGATGAGATTTCTCCAGTTGCTATAAAGTAGATATTTGCTCTGAAGCCACTTTACACATCTTTTGGTTTTGCCACATAATGATGTTCATTTTATGCAATAATAATGTGAGAAAAAAATGGTTGCTTGCTTGCTGAAGACAGTTAAGCCCCAGTATATAGGTACCTCACCCTGATCACCCTATTATGGGGGGGGCAAAAAGATTTACACAGAAATATTTTTTAAAAGAACAATAAAAAATTAATTAACTATGTGGAGATGAGTTTTGCCATGTTATTTAGGTTCTGTGAGCATATAAAAATACATCCATATTTTGTGAAGATATCAGAAAAGCAGGCCTAAGCAATTCCAGCACTGCTGAAAGGAGAATTCAGCCATTCAGGGGTCCCAGGGCAAAACCTGAAACACAGCAAAAGTTGAAACTATGCCTTTACGCACATTAGGAAGTATGTTAATCTGACTCTATTTGCTGCTGTCTCTCTCTCGTCTCAAGAGGCTGCTTCTGCCTTAGAAGAAGCCACAGCTTCCCTCACTCCGTAGAGTATTCACACTCTCTGCTCCCAGGTTTCAGTACAGATGTAAGCCACATTACTTTACGCACAGTACAACTGAAAATAAAAATCAAGCTGGGAGATCTTACAGAGTGATCTGAAATTTAGCAGATCTCATTGTCAACTTTCTGATTATCTGTCAACTCAGGAAATGATTCCTGCTGAAGGTTACACTTAAGCATATTTGAACACATGCTTAATTTTAAATATTTGTCCAGGAGATTTTAAAAATCAGTATCTTGCTCTCTGCATAGTTTTTTTCACAGACTTTACAGTATTACCAGCTGAGGCAAACACCGCCATTCTGCACCAGCAGTCAACATACTCCTAGCTCACTCTCCAGTTAAGTATTTAAGTACTACAATGACACTGGAAAATACTGATAATACTGCATGAGGAAAAAATATTTACCATTAACACTGTTCTCTTTGTCTTAGTTCTCTTAGTGTCTTTTTACTGACCTGTGATTCTGTCAAAGCAGCATGCATAGCACTGAGTTGTAAATTAAGAAGAAGGAATTTAGTAGAGTCAAGCCTTTAACTCATTGCCTGATGGTGACTGGGATCCTTAAAAGTCTCCTGGCTTAAAATTAATGGGGTTTTCTGTTTTAAAGCGATTTAAAAATTATAAATGGAAAATTCCATAAAAGGACAAAGTAGTATTAGTAGTAATGATTTATTCATTACATCTGTTTTGACATCTGATAGCCAAGACACCAGAATGAACAAATGCTTCAGATTTGCTTGTCATCAATGAATATCTTCACAGCCTGGCAGGAAACAAAACACATTGTTACCATTATCTGATACTTTTACAATGCATGAAGTGTACTTGCACTTAAAAGCTGACACCTTTTATTATAACACAATAAGTACACCTGCACAGAAGCTGGTAAGTCTTTGGCAGGTATGAATAATAATCTTAAAACCATTTAGAATAGGTGTAAATCTCATAGCTATATGCCTGATGTTTGTTTCCTCATTAGCAGAGATGATTTGAAAGGCAGATGTTCTTCTTCTTGAAAATCTGAGATACACCTCTAAACTCCCATATTGTTTGTACCTACAGATGAAATTAGAACTTCCTCCTATTGTCTTTGTCGTATGTCCCATCGTCCCTAACTGACGCATATTGTATAGTCTACTCATTTCAAACAAGGCTATGGCGTTTTCAAGATGAAACTGTTTCTAAAACTAAAAAATGGCCAAAATCCAAAGATTATTATCACCTCATCCATTCCTTGCAATGTTGCATGAGAGAGCTTTCCATATCACAGGCACACTTTCCATGGTCTTTTCTTTGATTTCACACTAGCAAGAGATGTTATTATAGCACTTTTTTATGATTGAGACTAACTTGTAAATTATCTTTAAAATAATTTTTTAAAAAAGGGAATTGTGATTCAATGGCTATGACTTGATTTGAATGATTTTAAGTATCAGTAGGGCTGGAAATCTTGGAAATTATATATTACATTCTGATTTTGGCATTCAAAAAAATCCCATGAGAAAATAATTATTTACAGTTTGGGTTGAAGACAGGGAACGTCCCAGCTTTTTACTTAAGAAATTAATTTTTTAACAGAGCATGTATAGCAACGTTGAAGGGAAATCTCTAGCTAGCTCTACTCCAACCACATCTATTCAACTCTTACTTTATCACAAACAAAATCTTTTGGGTTTTTTTTTAAATAATTATGCTAATTGCCAGAAAACATGAGTAATTGGGTGCACAGAAGATTTTACAAGTCAAATGAGAGTGAGAAGGCCAGGTGTATGTAGAATAACTAAGTTTTAATTGATGATCATTCAGGCATTCTCTTTACCTTTGTAACAATATCAAAATAAGGATGTAGCCAAAACAGCTGAGATCAACATATTTTATACTGATGGGAAATAGCTTTTTTATGAACCATAGAATTAATCTGTGGAGTTTATTGCCATAGCTGTCCCAGAATATAGTACACTGTTTTTTCTCAAAACTAGATTAGACATTTATTTATGTATAAAATAATGTTTGCAATTACATTTTATCTGCAGGATAAAAATGATCACAGTTACAATCTTATTTATTAGGTCATCAACCAATCACTAATTCAGTAATTTCAGGAGTATGGGAGAGGGAATTTGGTTTGGGGAGATATTACGCCATAATTATCCATAGTGCAATTTCATGGACTTTTCTCTTTGATATCATAATATAGAAGAAGGGTCATCTTCAGTTCGTGGGTATATTCCAAGTACTGATGATAGGCATAACAAATACATGCATTTGTGAGAACATCTTATCTGAGTACTGGAATAGGTTGCCCAGGTAGGTTGTGGAGTCTACCTCATTAGAGATATTAAAAAACTTATCTAGACATGGTCCTGGGCAACTGGCTCTAGCTGGCCCTGCTTGAGTGGTGGGGTTGGACAAGGTGACCTCCAGAAGTCCCTTCCAACCTCAGCCAGTCTGTGATTCTCTAATTCTGTAAGACAAGTGGTCCACTAGTTCTAATTTCTAAAGTTCTAACTAGTGGTGACAATGGCTTCTTTTCTCCTATACAACTATCTTCTTTAGTCTAGCTCTAACAAACTTTTGCTTGCCACAGGTTTAGTTGATATATACACTTCTTTTTTTTTTTTTCCATGCAAAAATGACCTGGAAAGAATTTAAAAATGTAGAGATATATTTATGGTTGGGAAACAGTTTGGGTTTTTTTTCCCCAAGATTTAGATGTTAAGTCTAGTGAAAAAACGCAATTGTATTTAAATATCGTCCACTCCTTTTCAGGGTGCGCAATGATTTTGATGTACTTACAAACCGATTGATTGGCAGCCATGGCTACTGTACTCAGGTAAGTTAAGTGTGCAGTCTTGGGGATGTGATATGCCTCTGCATGCAGATCTGTGAACTGACTTCTGTGCAGAGATGGCATTTCTTATTTTAAGTTCCTTATGGTTTTCCTTTTTCCCCATAATGTCAAGCACCTTCATCCTTTATTCTTTTTCCCTTGTGTTTTGGCATATTGTTGTCTTTGCTTTCAGAGCCTCTGCTTTTTGGCCTATTTTTCTGCTCTGCGTGTGTCTGTACCTATGTGTGCATATGCTCATACTCCTTTCATCTGCCTCTTTTGAACTCCTTAGTTGATTTTGGTGCTGAGATACTGCTGAGACTGCAAGCTGAGTTTTCTCCATGCCATTTCAGAAAGGTGGCTGAGGTTGCATGTGCAGTTGTACAGCTCCTCTGTAAACAGTCACTGCCCAGCTAACTGAGCTGATGCTGACTTAAGCTAACTGGTGCTTCAAACTGGAGACACTGATTTATTAAATATATGTCTAAAAGACATGTGGTGCTTGAAAATAAGCAGTCTGAATTGCTGTCTGACACTTAAGACCACAACTGTATGTAGTCTAAATTCCAGCTCATGTCCTGTACCAAATGTCTCCCACTGGCTGGCTCTAGGCCTGCAGAGGCATCCACTCAGTTGGAAACGCTTTGCCTTGGACATGTAGGTGGAATGTAGATCCCAGAATTCTGGGACATGGATTCCCCCAAAGCTGGGACGTAGGCAGTTGTGTGGTCTGAATATGGTCCACAGCCATTAAATGTACTGCCATTTTGGCTGCGAAAGGCAAGCTTCATATTATTCCCTGGTACTGTTGCTAGAAGACTTTTATACTGTGGTTACATGGTGATTCCTCAGGAAGGTGGTGGAACATCGCTGGTGGATTAGAACTCCTAAAAAAATCAGTAAGAACCTATAAACTTTGGAGAGCCCTTCAGAAGAAATATGGGGCTATAAATGTGCGCAGTATTTTTAAAATCATACGTCAAGTCCAAACTGGCAATACCACTGTTATTCATGTCTTCAGGCATGGTAATTTGGAATATTTTTTCTGGAAGCTTTCTTCTTGTTATTTCCCCTCATGTTTCTTGACATATGTTATTTATTAATAGTTAGCTGGTTTATTGCTGTAGCACAGTCTGCTGCTAGATATTGTTATGTGCTGTTACATTCTAGCTGGCCCTTGTGAGATCTCATGCTAAACAAAATGTCTAGTGTCTCTGTTCCTTGTACTTTACACACACTCACAATGCGCACATGCACACACACACACAACCTCTCACTTGTATTTAGCCCCTGACACACCTGTACTTCTAGTTCAATTGGAGACAAAATAATCAACAATCTGCTATACCAAGTATGAATATATTAGTGATATGGACCAGATGTGAAGCCATATGGGTGAATGTCTTACTGAATGAGACTTAAGTCCATCCAGAAATAATCAGTGAGGAAAAAAAAAATCTTTTAACAGATCTTGTCCAACATACGAAATAAATCACTAAGCACATGCAGAAATATCAGATAGTGCTGTACAGGCTTTTAATTTATATCATTCATACTGTAGCTTTCATTGTAGAGAAAAAGGGACACCAAAATGTTTTAATTCAAAAAAACCCCAACACTAATATGAGAAGGTTGAGAGTTGGTTGTCAGAATAAATGGGTTATCAGCAGTTTGGAAGGATGAACATCGAAAACTCCATTAATATTTCCTCATTTTACTTTGGGAGTAGACTTTCCTCAAAATATCTGGAAAAATTTTTATAAGCAATCCTAATCCTAACCCTAACCCTAAACTTAAAGCCACTACATAAATTAGGGGTCTGGTACATGTGTCACTTTATCAGTCCTGAATCAATCTTGTACTGATGTCTGGTAGAGACAAGATGTTTAACTACTGTTTGGTTTGATTTTTTTTAAACATGTCACAAACAGGAATTGGTGAACTTGCTTTTGACTGGCAAAGCTGTGTCCAATGTTTTCAACAATGTGATAGAGCTGGACTCTGGAAATGGCAATATCACAATATTGAAAGGTATCACAAGCCGCAGTGATATTGGTTTGCTGTCTCTCTTCGAGCACTATGATGTTTGTCAGGTATGCTTTCCATTCTTCTGATTTTAATTAAAAAGGAAACAATGAAATTTAAAATTGGCTTGGAGTGAGTATAGCAGCTAAGAAATCATGGACTTGACTCAGTTGCTCACTCAGAGGCATCTAGCACTCTTTTAGATGCCCCAAGGCAAAGCATGGTCTCTCTTCTGGATGCAGGTTCTGTGTCACAACTGCCACCCCTTGGTGAATGACTTGGGTAGTCCACAGCATCTCAAATCTTACATGCCTGTGTCATTTCTAACTGATCTCCTGAAATGGGAGTCCACTTACGGACTAACACACTTCTATTTAAGTGGCTGCTGTATAGATCTGTATACGTGAACTAGGACCTGCTCAGTGAAGTCTGTGGAGTTGAAAGCTGATCAGCTGACTAAACATAATTGGGTACTCTAGGCTGAGCTGAACAAGTTCCTCTGACTGTATTCACTAGCTCTGCACTGATTATAGTGTAGTTGAGACGCCCAGCTCACATGTGGACACCTATATCTTAGTCATGTATATGTAAGCAGCTGAATCTGGAGCTGAAACTCACCCTAAGTATTCAGTTTTCCATGAGTTCCCATGTGATGGGAAGCCAGATTGATTGAATCCTCTACTCCATGCTGTATGGTGGTCATATTGTATTAGCAGTAAAAAAACTCATAAACAATTAAAATAGCTGTCAATATAATGGGAATGTTCCCTTTAACATGTCTTTGAAATTAGTATTTTAATTGTAGTCATCATGAAAATTAAAAGATAGATTAAAAATTTCAAAGATGTGACAGACATTAATTTACCTTTGGAAAAACTTTTATAAGGATTTGACTGGTTCTCCATCAACAGACATTGTTGTCAAGACGGACATCTTTAGGAAAGACATGTTCTATCATAAACAGAGAATCTTGTGTTTGATGCAAAGATATTATCTGAAATTCTCTTGCTTGTGTTAGATGCTAGATTAGATAATTGTAACAGTCCCATCTGAATTTTCCTCTATAAAAATTTGAATTCATTAGCAAGGAATTTGTTTGTACTTATCTAATATAAATGTGTGACTGAAAACAAAGCTTAGTTCTAACTGTTTCCCATATGGCTAAAGTCAGTTACATTTTCCTACTACTGACAAATTATAATTTTTACTATTTTTGATTAACACAATCCTTTACATTATTCACAAGATTATAATAAGGCTTAAATTCAGTGCAGACAGCATATCAGTGTATCCAAATCAGATTAGTTCAGAACAAACTGGACTAAAAATAAATTAGCTTCTGTGTCTAGTTCAAGCTCCTTGTCCTTTTCTATAAACAATGTAACATTTAAAACCTCAAAAAATTGTTATGCATCACTGTAGCATTTTTTCCATTCTCTAGTGAGGAAAATGACTTCTAAGTAGCAAAATGGTAAGTGAGGTCAGTGCAGGTAAGAGCTATTTCTTTCCCATCTGCCCTCTAAAAATAAAATAAAAAGTTACCCAGAGAATCAGACACCGTCTTCCACTTATTCTGCAAATTACATGGTGGAGGGAGTTCGTTTCTTCTACTACTGTGCTCTTGCATGGGAGCTGGACTCATGAGCAGTGATCTGTTTTCCAAGCCAGTGAGTCTTAATCAGTTACAGAAACTCCGGTAGATGTAGTTTCCTTTTTTTTTCTGTCTACACTAGTTAGGCATCTGATGCAAATTGTCTTGCTTTTTATTAAGAACATCTGTGACTGCTCTACATTTCAGTTCATATGTCTCAGTGCATGCTGCAATGCCTGCCTTCGGACTAGGACAAAAGTCAGATTCTGGTGGACTTTGGCCTCAAGTCTGGGGAGTCTTCACTGTGGCTTCAGCATGAGGTGCCAGATTCTGCTTTCTGTTACAAAGATATACGTTTAGAACAATTTAGAAAAAAGAAATGTCACTGATAGTTTGCAGTAGTGGAACTGAGAATAGCATTTGCCTGTCATTCAAAGTGACTCTTTTCTTCCTCTCGGTGTTTCGGTAAGTGGATTCAACATCCAATTACATTGTGGCTATGAGGATGGTAACTGAAACCAGTAATGGAAAAGGACTGTCATTTTTGGTTGGTTTTTTTTTTGTTTCCAGGAGTAAGAAAATCCTGAGAATGATATGTGATGAATCATAGACATTAGAGTTGGAAAACTCCCTTTAGGTCATATCCAGTCAATCTCTCAGGGGATAAGTCAGGATATTTTTATGTCCTGTTATATAGCAGACGTTCTTTTAAAAATCTGAATCCATGAAGTTCCTGCCTTTTTGTTCAGATGACCATTTATTAGTTGATCATAGTGCATATAACTGTGATCTTACCTTTTTCCTCACACGTCTCTGCTTTAAAATATGAGGAAGTGCAAATACAGATTTGCAGGTACCTGAGAATGTGAATATTTTAATATCTACTACACAGCTTGTGCTTTGGATATTCTAATATTAAATCTGACTGTTCATTTACTTGGTTTCCTCTGATTATCATTCTTACTTCTAATCCAACCTGACCCCTAAACAATTCATCCTCATCTGCTAGACATTTGCAAGCTGATGTAACAGTTCCTCCCTTTTTCATCAGTGCATCCTGTCCAAAGCTTATTTTTATTGCCCTACTCTAGACTTCTTCCAAATTACCAATGCATTTAGGAAAAGATATGCAAGATTCCAGGCTAGATGCAGTAAATCCACACAGAGAAAGATTTCTATACCATTTTATCTCCCTTGTCTAATATGTGTAGTATTTGTATATAATCCACAATTTCCTTGGCATGGCTTCTAAGGTGAAAATATCATGAGGGCATGAGAACTGAATTAATCCTTCTGTCAAACTTCAACAGTAGCAAATCAAAACAAAATGATCAGTCCTTTTTTCTCCAGTGACTGCCTGAAGAATCCCTCTGTTACTGATCCATTAATCTCTTTCACTGGATCATGCCGAATGTGTTATCTTTACTGATTAGAAAAATGTGTGTTTCATGTAATTTGTCTGGAATTGTTAATGTCTAATCATCACTCTTAGTCCTAATATATCACCATACTCAGTATATTTTTTGTAATGTAATTACTTGCTGAAAACTGTTTCACAAAGACAGATGGATTCATTCAATCTATTTCACATGCAAACATTTAGTTTCATAGTGAGATCCTGTATTTTAATGCAAAAAGGCTAGAAGTCCAATTCTATCACTTTTTGGTAGGCAAGTTACACATCTTTGGATTTCTTTTCTTTGTGCGAAGCCCATGTTTAAGCTATATTAATTCCATCTGATCTTACACATTTAACTAAGAAACCTAAATTCAGATTTTAGGTTTCCTGGGATTTCTTTAGAGCTCTTAAAGCAATAGAAACATTTCCAAAATCTGGTCAGTCCATATAAAATTGATGCACGTTCTCCTCTGTTTGCTGGGCTGCAGCATGCAGCAGTTTAGAGGTAGTCTCAGGGAAGCTGAGTCGTTTCTGCAGCTGGGACAAGACCTCAGAGAAAGGGGTGAGGCACAGAAGTGGGTAGGGCCAATTATAGAAGTCATGAGTGAGGAAGTCCCTGCATTTGGGTCAGAGTCTTTGGCCTAAATGCCACATTAAAATTGCAGGTGAAAAAACTTTGAATGATGAAATGCTCTTTTCAAAACTTATTGTGACATTAAAAGTAGAAACAGATGGAAACAGATGCTCTTCTTGTTTATACCAGATCATTTAAGAGACTAAAAGCAACAAAAGGGAAAGATAATCTGCATTCTCATCTGAAAAATTTAAAAGATATTACTACTATTATTAATAATGGTAATAATAACAATATTAATATCTAGCATTTTTGCATAATTTCCTATGAACAGATCTGTGCTTTGCAAAAGAGGCAAGTATCATTACCATTTTATGGGGAGGGAACAGACGAATAAAAGTCAAAGTGCTTATCCCAATAAGTCATCCAGTAAGCTGGTGGCTGAACTGGGAAGAGAGTACAGGTCTTCTGAATCTCTCATTCTAAAGTTAGTATGATACTGGCTGATGAATTTGGCCATCCTTCCGAAAGGCTTTTTGAAACCACTTTAGGTATGTGCTGTTGTACACAAAATAATGAAGGTATTCAAGGTTACTTGTCTCTTTTGAACCTTGCCTCTGATTCTTCTTTGTCTTCACTGATTCTCTGCTGCTTTTAACCTGTCTTGCTATTGTAGTTAAACCTCCTATCATCTGACCTCCCAAACTCACCACGTTGGTCCAAGTCTCTGCCTGAGCTGTCAGCATTTCAAGAGACTGATGCTTTTTAGTTTTTGCATTTCTGAAAATGAACAGAGAATGTGGCATTGACAAAAAAGTTATGCTCATTTTTCCTATTTCTTTTCAAAAAGAGAGGGAAATGTAAATAAACAGAATTTATTCATTAAAATTCCACAGATGGGAATTATTATCTTTGGTCTTTTTGATGAAACCAGCACACTCTGTGCTATAACAAGACCTACTTGAGTTATTAAATTCAGCACACATGCTCTGTCTTCTGGCACCTCACCTGTTTATTTGCCCTGTGGAACGTCCTTCTTATAACCTTCTTCGCTGGGAAATATGTCTGCTAAACAGGCGCCTTTCTCAGTCCGATGGACTGGATTCAAGCCAGGTCATTGGTGGGGTTGTGGAGGGGGAGGTTTAGAAAGATGTTTTTAACCATCTTGTTTAAGAAACCAACAACAAAAATATGCATGTGCAAAATGGAAACTGATGGTTGGTTTTAATTTTCCACTTATTTTTCAGTAATGGGTATGCGGTAGATATTGTGCCGCCTAGATGCATTCAGCAAGGGACCCTGCTATTTATGTAAGACATTTGTGAGCACCACTGTGGGCAAAAACATGTGATACATACAAGGTTGACTGAAATAAGGGTGACAAAGCATCAGCCAGTTAAAAAGTCTTTTCTTCATTCTTTGTTTTTACATCTCCCTTTCTAGCCTGGAACTGAAATTTTCTTTAATGAAGTCCTATTGTCCTACTGATCCATGGACAGTTATT